TATGTTACTTTCTGTCAGAAAAAGCTAAATGACGTTTGAAAAGTCAGTTGCTATCGTAAGGTACGAGGAAACTGTAAAAAGTTGACAGAAAGTTTTAAAAATGGTCGCAGCAAGTGAGGCATTTTAGGAAGGAAGCCTCTATACGTCTCTCATCGACAACTCTGTCTTTAACAGAATCTACGAGATTGGTAGATTATTGTTTTGTTTTAATATGGCTTCTCTCGTTTCTTTTCTCTATGTATGAAGTTTTTTTTTAATTACTTATGATCCACACAAATAGAATAGCACATGAAAGTAAACCAACTTTTGAAGTCTGAGATATATCTACACATAGCACCATCGATAGTGTAGATATGTGATACACATTTCTTCCTGTTTGTACATTAGTATTGTGCAAGAACGATTTTATTCTCCATTTTTGTTTTCGTAAAACTTTCTGAATTCATAGTATTCTTTTATTTTCAAGTGTCTAGAAAATCATCCCTGCCATACACTAACTGCTTGCGACTACCGATTAGCAGTATCGAGATGAACACTGAAGTACTGCAATTGATGTTTCCAATACCGAAATTTGCTAGAGCAGTTCAATACTGGTATTGTAATTTCCTGGAATATTATTATATTAAACACTTAAACTCACTGTAGCTTTCTTGATATCCATACTATAGTTTACTGAGGCACTAATTCACAAACACTGGTGGCTAATGAAATACCACAGTACCGACTCAGTTAGACTAGTTACTTTTTTGTGTTTTTAGTTTATTTTAACGATTTACAATACTGACATAAGTACTTATATGCTTTACAATAATATCAAAAATTCGAGTGTTCTGCTATTTTCGATGACTGTTCAAATTTTTCTGTGGATGAATTGTAATCAGTAAATTTCAATACATTTAAGGAACTTTAGTATGAATATCGTTAATATTGTCAACGTTTCAATGAATATCAGTGTCAGTGTACTTCAATATCAGTGTTGGCATTGATAAATAAACTGCTACTGCCACATTTCGCAAAACGTATATGACATGGTCTCAAATAAAAATTGAACTTTCATCAGAGATAGAGTTGATTAATTACGTGTAGAAGAAGCTGTTACTTCCACATATCTTGATGTATATGAAAATAAGACTAAAAGTTTCTAGATCTACTAATACTTAACCCTTTACCCCCCCAGTGGGTCATATATGACCCATTTGTAGAACAATCACAGAAAATAAAGGAAGCATGAGACTGAAAAACTCCCAAGACATTATTTGTAGGGAACTTCACAAGCTATCGATTGGTAAAAAAAATATATTGTTTCGTTGCTCTGTCTTCGAGATATATGACTTACAAAATCAAAAATTTTGAAAAAAAATGCAAAAATTCGAAATTTTTTAAACAAAATGTTTTTCACTTGCAGTCGATCGAGGTCTTTTGGAATTTCTGTGTGATATTAATCGATGAAGAAGTCCACTGCTGAATTAGATATTTTTCGGAAGCTTCATGATAACTCCGCGAATTATACATACTAAGGAATATCATTGACCATGTTGTCACCGTTAGACAGATGGAGGGCAATCAAGAACGAAGTTAATATATGCGTTATAGACCTCAACTCATGAGTAGTCCAAATAGTATTGATGATGAATTAAATTCCTCCAGACGTTACAAAATGGCTCAGAGTAAAATAGGCTTAAGTTTGACAATAGGTGTAAAAAAAAGCATCCATTATTTTATGTTAATTTTTATCGGTTCACTCGTTGCGTTTTTCCTATCACTTCAACAGTACAAGATAGATGCTGCTTCTGTCGAGTCAATAATGTGGTGAAAGAAAAAAAAATAAGTCTTATGATGTCGTACAATTCTCATTTTCCACCACATGACTTTTATATCAATCAAACCGCCCTACTCCAGAACCAGGACATTCGGTGGATTAGGCCACACCATTGGCATATTCGACAGGCTAATACTCTATTTATAAAGTTATTTTATCAGTGGCTCTTCTGGAACCGCTATGGGGGGTAAAGGGTTAATATCGTTCCCATTTACTGCGAGACACTGCCCAAAAAACAGCGTTCTTACAGGACATTAGCGTAACAGTCTCGTTCGAAGCTTGTACTCAGTCATAAAGAAGATTAATTTATGATTCTTGTTTTCGGTAATAACTTAGGTAAATCTATCATGAATTACTTTTATGCATACCTGACAATTCGATTTCATTCCAAGTTTTGTCGTTAACTCTTTGAAAGGATGCATTTGTCTAAGAAATTTTCCAGCTTTGCAGAAATATAAATCATATCAAGTTTTCTTTTTAAACCCAGCTAGACCATTACAATGTTGGTGAAAACTCTGATGATATTATTGCCTGTACTCATCGGAGCTGTAACTACATTGACACTCACCTTCATTGGATTCTCAACGACTCCAACATCAATGCTGACTGTAACACCAAAAATCATTCGAACACTGAAACATTGGTTCTTTCAATGTATGCATCTTTGTTGCTCTGACTTCTAATCATCAACAAAAAACTGTGAGATGAGCACATCTATTCTTCTCAAATATATCATAAATTTGGTTAATCTGCTATTTTGAATAACAAAATGAACTTCACAGAAATGCATCACTTCCTCCTCTAGTCTTAATACATAAATGGATGTTGCTTATATGTTGTCTGATCTCATAGTTACATCCATACTGTACTCGTTCTTCTCTCTTTTTAACATCTTGATACACTATGTGTCGACAAGATGATATGAAACGTACTACCAAGAACATTCAATTTTACTTGAACATCATCTACACGAAAAGACAAAAAAAAAGGAAAAATGAATCAGAAATATCATTAAAAATCAAGCGCGAGTGAAAATAAAACATATAATAATAGGTAAAGCATAATATATATTATATAGCCATGAATAAAGAATAACTTACATATTTAATAACAAATCGTAACATTGAATAAAATAAGCTTTAAGAAAAAATAAACTGATAAACTATGAAGTTAATATGCTCTTGTCCAATAAAGATATTTTGTATATCTAGATAATCCATCTACAATATGCCAGAGTATTTTCATATAAATTATAGTCAATAATAGCCAGCAGTGATGTTTCAGCATATTAATGAACATTGATATCAGTGCAATCAATATTTTGGTGATTGGTAGTGATGTAGTGGATGTCAATGCTTCAGTGAACGATGATGTGAAGGATATTTAGTTTTCAGAGAATATCACCGTCAGTGTAGTCATAGTTCTAGTGAGTACTGATAGCATTATCGCTTGTATCTAATGAACACTACCTGTCGGTAACTTTGTTTATCAATAAACTGAAATCGCTCATTCCTAAGTTCAACACAGTTCGTTATTCATATTTTTTGATTTTCATTTAGAATCTTAGTATTGAACAAATAATGATTTAGTCACAATTAGTCTGATGATTTGATAATGCCTATCGATATACTATCTATACATAAAAATTCAATATTCTTTGATTATTTCTAGAATATTTGCCAGTGAGAGAAAATAACAACTATTTGAATTGTTTTACTCATGCCTTGTTGTTTGATAATATCATATATGAACAGTGGGAAAAGCCAAAAAAATCCCCTCGTTGAGGTTGTTTATTTTCGACATATCATTATGCGTAGCTATTTTTACGCATACGAAGTGACTAGAGGTAGTCAATCGCAAACAATATGACGCTAATTCACTCAAGGGAAAGTAACCAGTCCTGTGAGAAAATTCAAAGTCGAATTGGATATCTGTTCATGCAACCGATGAATAACTTTAGTTTAGAAGTATAAATAGATAGGTTTTTTATATTTTCTAGATCAATCGAATAAATCGCGATTTTTCACGGCAGTTATGGAACCGTTTCCTAAAGCAGCAACCGATATAACGAATTGTAACGATGACGAATATCTATCATCAATGTCGAGTGTATACACAAATGACGAATTCGATAAGGTATGCTGAATCCAAAAATAAAGAGTATAATTAATTAACTTATGTGATTTTTTTCGTACAGATACTTGCAGGTAGTAACATGTTTCCATCGAACACATTTGATGATATCTCAATTCCTATTAATCCAAACAGTAATAATGACCAATTTGATATCGATATTGTCATTGATTCAAGTAGTACTGGTAAGTTTGTAAGCGACATACATATAAAGACAGACATATTCTCAATTTTGAGGTGATTTTGATGACCTAGTTACATATTTCTTTCTAATCAGTAAAACTTCATGTCAGTGAAAAACAAATATGCAGTCTTACTTGTATGCTTATCTTAGATAAATATAAATACCAATCTATTGCGTTCAAGAATTGACTCAATCATACGTATATTTCTATTTGAAATAACTGCGAAAAATATTCATCAGATTCAAACTTAAACAAATGAAGAAAAACAAAAATGAAAGCAATATGAGAAAATTACTTTTGTTTATATTATTTCTTCTTTTTCTTTTTTAGAAATCGATGCTTTGACACGTAGTGGTCCGATTAATTATGATGACATATTTAAAATAATTGGCCCTTTTAAAACTGAATCAATTGAAACAGAACCAATTGAACAAAGTATATTCACAGAAAATAATGATCCAATGCATTTCAATGATTCAAAATGGAGTAAGTTTTTGAAGTTTTGATTTTTTTTGCCACTAAAATTTTATGCTTCAGATATTTTAGAAACTTCACCGTCATGGTCTGTTCCAATGGGTAATTCGTCACTAGAACTAAAAGTTGATCTTAGTAAGCAGTTAACTATATGACTTTAAAGGTTTTCATTTGGTTTTTATAATTGTATTTCAGTTCCAACGTGCACACAAGCTGTGATTAAAAAACAACAACGATTAATCAGTCAGGCAAAATCGAAAAAAGTCAAAAGTATACTAAATAAACACTTACTATTTGAAAAAATTTCTAATTTGTTTATTTATTTATTTGTAGCTGACCATCAACCTTCAGCAATTGTCGGCCCAATGGGTTGTAGTCTAAGTATGATTGAATTTAAAATAATTTAAAACAAAAAAAAAATCAATAATAATTTTTCTCTAGATTCGGGCGATTGTGAACCATGTACTACTGTACAAATGTACAATGATTTTGCATATCAACAACAAAGTATGTACTTTCTTTGTCGTCATTTTTCTTTGACTGATCATTTCAATTTTATGTTTTTAGTGATTGAAAGCTATGCTATGGAATCAAAGAAAATTCAAATCGAATGTCAACCACGTGCGAAATACCGTCCACGAACACAAAATGAAAGTAAAAATGGGGCACACTATGTACGATGTGAAGAAGGAGTCAAACCGGAATATCCAACAATTTTGGTTAGAAGATTGATCAATTTATCTTAAATATATTATGAACCTCTTTTTTCTACTTGTTTAGGTTCCTTCAACATGGAATTCTCAATCAGATGTAAATATTATTGAAGTTGCTTTGATGGGCATCGACAAACAACCTCATCCATATTCGATTGATAATAAAACTAGTTCAGATACATATGAAGATTATGCATTAATCTTTAAACAAAATGACCCAAATGTTTTATACTTCCGTTTAACAAATGAAGATTTTCAAAATGGATATAAAACGTAACTTTCTATTTATTTATTTATTTATAAATATTTTAAACTTGTATGATTTATCTTTGCTAGTTTTATGATTGAAATGATTAAAAGTAAACAAGATCATATTATAACAAAAGAATTAATTCGTACAAGACAACTTGAACAGTCAATGTTTCGATTCACACGTATTTTTCAAGTAGAAACAGAAGAATTTCAACGTGATGAAGGTAGTACAGAATATTCTTCCATTATGACTGAAGGTATGAAGAATCGATTTGAAGTTTGCGAAAAAAACTTTACTCGAAACGTTTTCTTCCACATGTTAGCTTATGGTGATGTTGAAATTGAACATATGGGTCCACGATATGGTCCAATGTGTGGACAAGAGATGGTATATGTTGTTCTCAAGGGTCGTATCCTTAAAAATGATTTAAAAATTGAGATTGTTGAAAATTTAACTAGTTGGCATTATTCAGTAGAAGATTTCACTAAAAATGGAAATATTATTTACTTTCAAATGCCAGCTTTTTCATGTTCACAATTTGATACTATGAAAGCAAATATCATTATATACTATAAAGGAGAAGAATTACATCAAACAAGCTATCTATATAAAGGATCATTAGATCGTATGTATTTAGTTTATGTTTAATGTCTTTTTGACTTATTTATTTCTTCATTTTTTTTAATAGAAGAATTAGCCGAACTTGAATCAAATGATCCAGGCGCAACTACTGTATCAGCATCAATATCCAAGAGTTTCGATCCTTTCGACTTGATTACAGCTACCGGTGTCTGTCCGACTGTCTCTCCTCGAAGAACATCGACACTTAAACGTATAAAAGGTTTGATTAAAACAGAAAAACAAAAACAAAAACAAAAACGATCATAATCAAAAAAAAAAACAAAACAGAAAAAAAGTTAAATTTTGCATAGATATGTGTATGCTTTATATTTTTTTATGTGACTTCGCATATTATTTAAAAATATTTATGTTTATTTTCATATTTTGTGTGATTATTGGTATAATAGTTCCAGTCACTTCCCATATATTGTCTTACATATTGACTTTTCATATAAAAAATTAGTTGTAAGTATAGAAAAAAACGATTTGTAAAACGAATGTTCATTTTCAACTTTTGTCATGTCTTATTTTAATTTTTTAGTATTAACTGGTTTTAAACAAAAATAAAAGAAAGACAAAAAAAAAGCATTGAATGAAAAGGAAGAAGTCTGTCCATCAAATTATCTAGAGGAATCGACCATTTGGACTTCATTTTCACAATAAGAGCATTATTATTAGAAACAAAATCAGAAAATAACGAAATTGCTTTTTTTTAATTTTGCAACCAGATAGATTGCTATAATGCTCATTTCCTCTAAAAACTAACCATATATATTAGATGAATGATAAACTTTTGATAGAACAATACCAGGAAATAAAACTATGTGGCATATGAGTTTCATTTCAATTGCTACATGTGATATGAAGACAACTCGAATATCAATCAACAATCCCTAGATAATCAACAAGCTGGTTATCGTTTATATACAAAAACATTTGTTCTAAGCACATAGTAGTTTACTTTTTTTTTATGCTTTCATTTTATAACTATTTAAAATTCTCAAAGAAGACTAAGTTCATAAAATAAGACATTTTCTGTTGGATTATCTTTATACTAAAAAAGAAGCAAACAAGGCAAGATCACAAACAGATAACTGATATAATCTTGATATTATCAACTTAGATTGAAACGAGGACTTTCTGAATATTCATTCTCATATTCATTATGACATGATTAAAGCAGTTGCGAAATAGATGCTAAAAATGAAATAAACAAAAAATATTTATGTTGACTATAGTCAATGCTGTCCTTGTTACTGAATTAAATACACAACCATTCACTAATAGATGAATAAAAACAAAACTTACATGCATAATAAGTTATTCTTTTCTCTCTTGTTGTTTCTCGAGTAGTCAAATAAGTGTACAACAATAGATTGTGAGACTATACAGAACATCATATGACAGTGTCATATATCATAATCATATAGTGTACATTAACAAAAGAGAGAAAAATCACATCGTTTATATGATGATACATATATATTTTGTTTGGATTACTTTGTATTGTTTAGTTTTATTAAAAAAAAGACCTTTGCGTTGTGTTTAAAACCATCAAAATAAGTGAA